ATCAAAGCACCTTCAATTCGCAAGGGGAACAGCAGCGGGTTGTGCAAAGAACTTAAATCTGGGTCTAAAGTCCTTGTTGTGCTGAAAACAGCCCAGAAATCTTACGGGGACTCGTTTTTGGTGATGCGAGGGAGGCAGGTGTAACCACCAGCATGTGGTCCTGTGAAACCAGAGGAGAAACGTTTCACCTCCACTCTGCGGTCGCATCAGCAACCACACAAGTTTCGGGACAGGCTCCAGGCACGTCACCTGCAGAGGCAAGACCAGATTTCGCCCTGACGAGGGCGAAAGTTAAAACCCGTCGCTTAATGCCTGTGTGACATCCTTTGCCTGACCAGCCAGGAGCTGAGGGACATCGGAAGAGCCTCCCCTCGCCTCTCTCTTCTCCGGGCCCGCAGGGGTAGGGGTCATGCTGGCGGGTCCCCCCTGCAAGCCCGCAGCAGGCGCGGGCAGGGCGGGCACGGGCAGCGGTCGGTGCCAGCCCGTCGCCGTGCTGCCCTCTGGAGTCAGCCGCTCCAAAGTGCGCCTCAGCCAGAGCCACAGGGACCATCCTGCCACGCTCTGCATCCTCCAGGGGCTGACATCCAGCGGGGGTGTTCTCCCGTTAGAGAAGAGATCTCTGCTCTGCAGGAAGTCCTGGGCATTCCCTCAAATCCCCTCCCAAGAAGAAGGGACCCCGACCCCGCGAGGTTTCCCAAAACATAGCACGCAGGCTGGGGTCGGGTGCACCAGCACCTCCTTCAGCCCAGTGGAGCTGGCAAGGCCTCAGGGATCTTGGTGGTGTTTGTCCCATGCCGTAGGATGCTTTGCTGACAGGCAGATCAGCACATGTCCTGAAATCAATGGGCAGCTTTCCGCTCAGCTCCAAAGAGTCCCGTGGCAAGGACAGCACAAAGCAATAACCACTCTCCATGTGGATGCATGGAATCATGGAATATCCTGAGTTGGAAGGGGTGCACAAGGATCATGGAGTCCAACTCCTAGTCCTCCACAAGAGCACCTCAGGAATCCCACCATGTGTCTGAGAGCACTGGTCAAATCCTTCCCAGTCTCTCCTGCAACAAATCTGGGCTGTAGCAGCTAAACCTTCCCAGGACTTACTTTCTCACTGCTCACTCAGCTGTTTGCTACATAAGTATCAGGTATGATTTGTGGCCCAGATATCAATCCGTAAAGCTACTGAGCTCCTTCTAACAGGAGTCTTCACCTGTCTCAAGTGCCTGTGGTCAAATATCAACCAGTACCAAGAGAGGAAGCTCCTTCCTGAAAGTTTAATGTTGGACTGGCAGCTCAAAGCAGTGTTGTGTCAGCAGAATTTCAGCTGGGAATTTGCTCAGGTAACGTGGGCAGCTTCTCCTTCGCTCTGTGACGTTGAGTGAAATCATGATTTTCTGTACTGCACTCTTCCTATCTGCAGAATGGGGCTGGTACCTCCCATCACCTTTGCAAGCGTTTGGGTGCTAGGGAACCAGGCAGGTGGGCTGGAGTGATGTTAACATCCTCTTGCAGTGCTGAATTTCTAGGACTGAATCACATTTTTCTACCTTAAAAAAAAAAATTTTGTTTAATTTCAGCTTTTCTTCCTAATTACTGAATTGAAGTAGGAGTTATTTTGTCATGAGAGGGCACTTGTTGATGGTTTACCCTGTGTTTCATTAATGCATGTAAGAGGTTAACTCCTGGTAGAGAAACAGATGCAGGGTTTTAACAGGGAGAAAAAAAAAAAAAAAAAAGCCCCAATTTTACTTTCTACTCCTGCACTAATTTGTGACTATTTTTATCAATGTTAACACTGAGCCAGGGTAAAAATACTCCCTAGAAAGTTTAGAATTTACATTTGCCTTCATATATATTCAGCAGAAATCCAGCTCCCCAGCCTCCGCAATGCCTAATCTGGACTCATTAACTTCACCCACCCCCGGGAAAAGTGTCAGATGACTTTGGCCCACTGAAGCCCTTCACCCACAAACCCTCAGCAGGAGGGTCCAAGTCTCCCATCTGCAGCCACCCAGCCCCATGGAGCACCAGCTCTGACACTGCAGGCATCCAACCCGGCCATGGGAACACATTCACCCTTCCCAACGCAGCCCCACTTCGGGGCAAAATCTCCCTCGGGCTCCATCCTGGGAGGGTGCTGAGCCCTGGCAAAGCCCTTCTGCCCTGGTAAAGCAGAGGGATGAAGGCTGGGGAAGAACCCCCACAAGGAGAAACCTTCACGGAGCACCTTGTGAAGCACAAGGCAGCCACAAGCGCGTGGAACCGGCAGCTCCAGGTCCTAGGACAGTGCCTTTTTTTTCCTCTCCTAAACGGACAACATTTGCCAGTCTGAGATGCACTTTTGCAGCACAGCTGGAGCCTTTCGAGTCAATGTGTCACCGAATTCTGCTCCAAAGGCAACTGAATTGTTCTCTGGCATGTTCCTGCAGAAGAAACAAACCAGCCTCTCCTGTGCAAAAGCCAGAGGGCACGTGCAGTGTCTGGGGCAGCCAGGGGCTGTTGTCATCTCACGGTGGTCACAGCAGGCCAGAGGGGCTGAGGCTGAGGGTCCCTCTGAGGACTGTCCAGTCCAGCCCATGTCTCACAGCAGGGCCTGTTAGATCAGGTACCTCATCCCAGTTGGGTATCCCAGTATCTCCAAATAATGGACACTGCACAGCTTCTCTCGGCAACCTGATGCAGTATTTGACCACCCTCAGAGAGAAAAAGTGGACTATCATTTCTCATGCTTCAGTTTGTTCCCACCGGCCTCCCTGGGCATCCAAGAGAAGTCTGACTCCATCTTCAGAGTTTGAGGAAACCCCAGAATTTTTACAGCAAGGGGTGTGCTTCCACCTTCGCGCAAAAAATTCAATCTGTAAAGCCAGAAGTGATTTTTCTGGGAAATATTGGCTCAGCTTTTCTCACAATGCTTTGTAAGGAATAGCTGGTTACATGAAAACTCATGAGGTCTCCATGCTTTCTAAGAAAACCAGGAGAGAAAGGGGGCTCATGTTACAGCAGAAGCCAAGAGCCTCCAAGGGCTCTGACATCAAGGGAGGGCGGCTCCAATCTAATTATACTGGGAAAACATCCTTGAGCAACAACCACTTCCCTTCCCTGCCTCTGCTTCCTGGGCTCCAGGCTCTTTCCAGAGGAAGAACTCTGGAGAATATTTAGGATTATTTATCCTTCTAGCAATGAGGTTTAAATGAGTGGGTCTGGAAGTCTTATGTCACCACCCTTACAAAATCCTCCCGTGCAGAAGACCAGAGGAGCTGGCAGCTCTGATGCTTCCTTTGGCATTAGACCCTCCAGAGTCTGTCACTGCAGTGATGGAGCAGGACAGGATATTTATGTGACTTAAAAAACAATAACATCTCCTCTCAACTCCATCTCAGGCATATACTGGATGCAGACTGCACAGTGTGGAGTTGAATACATACCTGCATACCTCATTTATAATCGTTCCTTCTTTTGTAGGCCAAAAAGGCCCTTCCTTCTTAGAAAAGAGCCAGGCAAGAGCAGGATGGCCCAAGACACGGAGTGCAGGCCCTGTTGGTATTCTCTGGGCTCCGTGGATTCAGGATCCTTGCCCGCCCTCCCTGTGCACACGTCAGTTCCTCAGCAGCTTCTCCCAGGCGGCCAGGCTGTTTTTCAAGAAGCAATTTCCTGCAGAGAAATATTTTTTTTTTCAAGGAGCCTAAGTGGGGAGCTTCCTGGAGCAGGCTTTTCTCAGGAAACCATTGTGAAAGCAGCTTCGCCACCCACCAGGAAGGGCTGTCAATGAGCAGGGAGGGTGCAGGCTGCACCCAGCTCTGTGTCCCCAGCCCAGCTTCCCCCTGCATGCCTGGGGGATGAGCTTTGTGTCCCTTGCCTGTCTCTACCTGCTGGGGTGCTGGCTTGGGGCAGTGGAAGCAGTTGGATGATAAAGACCTGGGCTGGGTGCAGGGAGTGCAGAGTCTCCCAGGAAAGGTGCTGTTTGGCCTCTCCAGTGCCCGGCCTGTCCCTCTGGTGGGAGAAGGTGGGAGAAGCTGAGAGCAGACATGATGACTTTACCAGGCTTTGTCTCACCAGCCTTTGCATTCTCCCTCTTCACTGTGTTGCTGAGTCTGATTTCAGGCAGGGCCACCAAATACAGGTTTCTCTCCACACGGAGCCGAGGTGGTCGCTGCTCCTCAGCCTGGTTCTGGGAGGCACCTTGGTGTCTGGGTGCTCCTCTGAAGTGCAAACCCTGCCAGGACTTCTCCCCGCTGCTGAAGGGGTGAGGCATCCCAGCTCAGCCCAGCTGTGGTGGAGCCGGGGCAGTCCCGGTGGCTTTGGCAGCGCTGCCTGGGATTTACCCTGTGGCAGATCAGAGGCAGCCTCAGCACCGTGGCAGTGCCTCACATACCTGGCTATCAGCGAAACTCCAAAGTGCACCAGTTAAACCCTCAGCCAACACAGATCCTGGGGCAGCAGCTTGCACTGTGCTGCTGCTTCTCAGCATGGGCAGCTTTAAAGTCAATTATTGCTCCTCTCCTTTTAGTCCAAGGAGCAGGGCAGGTCTCCCAGCCCGTGTGTGTCTCCCCAGAACACTGCTTTTCATTCATGTAGTTCTTCTGGTGGCAAGGAATGGACAGGCTCCTGCCCCACTTTGAGCTCTCACCACCTGTGCTGTGGCAGCACTGCTCTTTCATGGAGAAGTTCTCCTGCTCATCTGTGAAGATGCTCCAGTTCGTGAGGTTTTTTCCCTTGCTCTAAATCCTTTGGTTTTGCAACCCCTCAGTGCATTTAAAATAAAACTGAACAAACGCCAAGAAGCCATTTCCGTGAAGCGTTTCGGGAGCAAGGGGCTGGTTCCTCTTTTGGAGCACTGGAAAACAACTTCTGATTTCCTCCCAGAGTTAGTAATGTTCAGCTGAACCCCACTCTTTTTCCCAAAAAAGTTTAGTTTCCAGGAAACAGGGCTTTCTTTTGAACACAAAGCATCTCTTGGGTCAAATTCTTTTTGATTTGCCTTTTTTTGTTTATATGTTTAATGTATTTAACAACATTCCCATTTTCTGTGAACTCATTCAGCGATCCCTGCCGATCACTGGTCCAGACAGTCTTACCCTCTTGGGTAGACTCACAATTCTTGGATACACATATATGACCTGCAAGAACATGACCCAGTACAGAGGGAACTGAACCAGGTCTCAGAGAAGGGTCTGGTGCCTTCCCAACCCACCACTGGCTTAATTATATGACACTGGGCAGGTCCCTTCCCTCTATCTGTGTCCTGCTTCCCAGTCCTTGAAATGGGGTTAAAGTTCCTTCATGCAACACTTTGCTGGACCTAAGAGCTGGCAAGAAATATCTGAAACACTCACAGGTGCCAGTCCTGTTTCCACCAGTGGCAGCAGTCCTTAGTCAAAAAGGATGGATCAAAACCTTCCTTCTTCTCCCTTGTCCTGCTGGCAACACTCTTCCTAATCCAGGCCATGATGTTGCTGGCTTTGAGAATGCACTGCTGGCTCATGGTCAGCTTGTTGTCCCCCAGGACCCCCCAAGTCTTTACCTGCAAAGTTCTTTTCCAGCTGGTCCCTGGTGTGTGCTGGTGAGTGGGGTTATTCCTCCCCAGGGGCAGGAGTTTGTACTTCCCCTTGTTGCACTTCATGAAGCTCCTCTTTGCCCATCAGGGTCCCTCTTCATGGCAGCACAACCCTAAAAAAAATGCACAAAGCCAGGGGAGCAGGGAGAGCTCAGGGCATTTAATAGCTCAAGTGATGGAGCTATTAAAAGTGGAGAAAAGGATGGGTTTGGAGGTATATGTTGCTTCCCTTCTGACCACTGCCCACAGCAGAGGGGGGGACACTGCCCCAGGGGCACACAGGGCACAAGGAAAAGGGGATCCTTCCAGCAGCTTGTGCCATCTCAGCCCCTTTGTGCCTTGTGCCTGCATGTCACCGTTCATTCACTCAGCATTTGACAAGCACGGAGGCAGCGACAGAGAAAGAGGTGACCAGGCAACTTTTAAGCAAAGACATCCTGGGAATGAGTCACCAGCTTTGCGTAAGAAGCCAGACTCCTCTCTGGAGGGAGAAGGGCAGGCGGGGCAGCAGGCAAGAGGGAGATGCCTGCAGCATGATTAAAAGGCAGCTTGGACCTTGCATTAGGAGTCCCACCTGTGGTGGCAGCAGAGTGAGACATCAGAGCCGAGCCAGCCCCAGCCCCACAGATCAGCTGCCCAGCGGTGGGAACACAGCTCCTCAGGGCAGGCTGCTCCCAGGAGTGGGAGAAGTCCCAGCATCCACCCAACTCAGGCTTTTCTCAGGAAGGCTTGGGTCTGGTGGTGACATTTCTCACGGGGAAGATTATTTCCTTGAAATCCTGGGGTATTCAGGTCAAGTAAAAGCTAATAGCACAGTGGCACCAGACACACTGAGCAGGCTGAGTCAGAAGGTATTTTCCAACAGCATGTAGGGTAATTTCCGAGGACCAGAGTGTTTCATCACCATGTTTTCCTGGTGACAACTTCAGCTGTTTTGCTTTTCAGAATCAGAATTTTGTTTACTGTTTTAGCTTATTTCCTCATGGAAAGCCTTTAATTTACTCCTCAACATTACCTGTAGCTTTTCATCCCAGCAGGTGAAGGAGCTGGAAGAGGAACAGCTCTTCAGCAGCGGGGCCAGTGTGCCAGAAATGGGACTTTTTTTTAAAGCTGTTCATAAAGATAACAAGAGATGAAAAGGTTGTGTCGGGAGGGGTATCTTCTCTAGTTGGAAAACACGAAATACAAGAGCAATTCTGTCTCTTCTGCTGGGGCCCTGGCATTTCTGATGTTATCTCTCCCAGAGTTTGCCCCATGGAGCAGATGCCCCTGAAGGGCGGCCAAGGTGGACGGGTAGATGGGACACAACCTGCCAAGGGACTCACACCCATCCTAGAGGGGCTACAGGGCCTCAAAGAGAGAAGAAACTCTGGCTGGAGAAAAAAAAAATCTCAGAGCCCAGACTTGCCAGGTGAAAGGTGTTGGAAAATGCAAATTATTAATTTAAAGAACTGGGCCAGGAACCAGGGGTGCCAGGCTGAGCTGTTATCTGCTGCATCAGCTGCGAGCCTGGCTCGGGATTTCAAAATAAAATTAGACTTGCAGTATATGTCTTTAAATATTTAAATTACTTTCAGTAATTCATATGGTGACATTTAAACAAAGTACACCAAGCAAACGGCTCCCAGTGCTAAAAGGAAATGTTTGCAGGTAATAATATTTAATTTAAGAGGGAACAGCTGATATCAATGCAGAATCTTAATGCTGAATTCAACCTACATTCCTCTCTGAACCAAGTAGGGAAGAATAAATCCCCAGGCCTGTGAATGGTTAAGCATGCAGAGTGATGTTATTAAAGTGCTGGTTCCAGGCACCCCAATGAGCTGTGAATTACGTGGGTGCCCAGATATTTGCAGGATCGGGGCCTCTGTGCTTTGTGGGCTCCCAAGAGTGGGGATAGGCAGCTCCACGGTGGGAAGTGAGGACTACAGGGGCTTGGCAATGCCAGCCCCTCCTGCCCCACTCACCTGCCCTCCCACATCCTTCTTGGGTCCTTTGCCATGAGTCTGTTCTAGTAACTAAAGGGAAAATCCATCCTGGGTACAAATAAGCAGAGCTCAATGAAGTCAGGTCACACACAGCCTGGTGCTGCTGGCCAATTTGGAGAGCTCAGCCGGGTTTGTTACATCAGTCACACTGGATTTCATAACATTAGACATTTCAATGAGGGTGACTCATTCTCTCTTGAAGTGTATTGTATGTATGAGCAAAGATGATTAACTTTTGCTGAATGGTATGATTTCTGGGATGGGAACTGCTATTAATTAGGAGCGGATCTCAGATGTTCACAAACCCTGTTTTCATGGCCTACTTTGTATATTTTTCTCCATTCTACTTGTTTTTTTAGCTCAGGATAAATATTAAAGTGCTCTTCCCTGCTATCTGCAGCTAAAGCAGCCAGATGTCCAGCAAAGGCATCTGACTTTCATAGTCAGGCACAGCCCAGGGCTCAGTTCCTGTGGCCAAGCTTCAGCTTCTTACCCCAAAAAGCTCAGTTTTCACATTAAATGCAAACAAAACAAAATAAAATGGAGCTTCTAGCCAGCACAAGTGCAGCAGACAAAGTACCACGGGACGTAAAATAAGCACAAATGGCTCAGAATACAAAATACAAAGAATTAGCCTTCCTTATCCTCCCCTGAAATTTCCTTTATTAAAGGAAACTTGGGGGCTTAAACTGATCTCGTGCTTCTGGCTGTTGAGCTTTGGGGGTTGGCAACACCGAGGATCCTTGGCATGAAGAGTCTCCAAGGTTCAGGGAGAAAGACACCCTTTAGCTGTACTGGCTGCAAAGCTGGACAACTCACCAGTGTAAAGGTCAGGATGCTCAGCGGCTTCAACAGCATCTGCAGCACCTGGCACTGTGGTCCTGCAGGAAGTGCCTGGAGGCATTAATACCAGCCAGCTTGGAAAAGCCAGAGGAGACAGGCCTAGGATGGGATGGAGTCGTCCTTCCCCACCCCAGGCACTGCCGGGGGGATGCTGAGGAGCAGCCAGGCTGAAACTGGGGAGCTGGCAGGCCAGTATGGCCCAGGCTGTTTGGTGGCCTCTTGCCACCACCTCGTGACTGCTGGCATCTCCATTGGGATGGTCCCCTCCCAGCCCCAGCCTGTGAGCTCCCTCTTGCTCAGTCCCATGGCACCTGCAGTGAGTGACACAACATTCCACAGAGCCAAACACACTCCACTCTGCTCTGGCTCCATTGCTGTGGGCAGCAAAACAGCCCTGGGAATAGACAAACTGTGGTCAGTCCCTCTGCCTGGCCAGCAAGGAGCGGGGGAGACATTTCTTGTCCTTGATTCCTGGTGAGACACCACCACAAGAGTCCACTGTGACTTCCAGAGAGAGAAAGGAAGGGTCAGGGCTCAGCCTGGCACTCTGCCAGCAAGGATGAGGTTCACCTGCCCTGCCCAGCACCCCGTCACCGTGCACCCCTCCAGCACTCACGGCCGCTCCTCAAATGTCAGGCAGGGACTGTGGGCAGCAGTTATGCAAACAAAGGTCACTGGATCCGTGCTTTTCACTTCCATCAGCTGAGGCTGCTCAAGGCTCCTGGGCACGGGCTGGAGATCTGGTCGAGCTCCACAGCAGGCAGTGGTGATGAGCGTGAGCTAACCTAAGAGAAGGAAGCCTTAACTGTAATTGCTTGTAGATAATCAAGATGAGATGATTTTTTTGGATCAAAACTGAGATGAGAGGGCTGGGTATTTCAGCACAAATGGGGGGTGAGCAGTGAAACTGCCCATGTGGGTGTCCAGCCCTAACCTGGAGGGGGGCTGGAAACTTGTGGGGTAGTGACGTGCTCTCCTCTCCTCCTCCCACTTGTCACCAGGCAGTGGGCAGAGACAGCTCCTCTTCCCCAGTAGCTCGCTGTGACCTGCTCTGGCTCAGGCACTGCAGCCAGACTGGTGGCAGCAGACCTGGAAGCACCTGCTGCCCAAGCTTCTTCCCCATAACCACCACAGCTCCCAGGCTTGCTCTCAAGAATCTGGGAGGTGTGGGAACACTAGAAGGCTTCTCCTTTCAGACTCAGTGGTAAGGAATGTGCATTCAAAACAGAGATAGGGTTAGTTTCTCTCGAGCTCGCGGGAGAACGTCACTTCTCCTGCGCACCCGTCCAACCGTGAGTATCCTTGAGATAAAGTGGCATCTCAAAGGGGCAGGAAAACCCCACAATTTGCCTAAATTTTGCACTTACGAAATGCCACTGGCAGACGAAAGCATGGATGTATGACTCAAGCACAACTCTGGGACGTGTGAGCCACTGCCTAAACTCCAGGCGTGCGAAAAAGGCTGAGCCACGCATCACCAAGGGTTTCCTTGGAGACTGACGCAGAAGGGGCTTCTCCTCCAGAGGTTCTTTCTCCCTGCCTTACCAGGCAAAGAAACACCCTAAATCCCATCTCACCCAAGACAGCCAGTAAGGTTCCACCGTGCCACTGGAGGAAGAGGCAGTGCTGGGAGCCTGGAGGGGGGTTTTCCTCACCTCCAGAGTAGTTTTCCTGTTGCGCAGCTCACTCAAGCTTCTAAAAATGTTTGCTGGAGCGACTGTCTCTGAGGCAATTTCCATAACAATGGGTGCAGAAGAACGATCCAGGCTGCTGGCTGACTTGCTGCTCACAGGCTCCCCGAGGAACTGGCACGCTGCTATTCCAGCGGTGAGATGCCCATGTGAATGAGAGAAAAAGAATATTTAGCTGAACTGCTCCCAGCAGCTGCTGGAAAGCTCTGCAGGGGCCCTGCTGTCCATTGCCCAGCTGAGGGGGCATGGGCAGGGCTCCCCCAGCCTGGCCCCAGGGCACTGCCAGACCGCGGGAGCCTGCAGGCAAAAAAAACACCCCCAGCAAAGGTACAAAACCACAGAAAGTGCTTCCACACCTTCACCACTGCCCATAAACACGCACCAGTGCAGGCAGTCAGCAGAGAGGAAGGACCAGTGCCAGAGGCAGCAGCAGCAGCAGCATATGCACCTCTAACATCGGCCAAGGCTCCTGCTTCATCTGATGCCTTGGTCCTTGAAAGGCCAAGTTACTCAAAGCCCCCATGTGTTGTTATTTAATCTCTCAGTTCTTGGTGCTCAGCCCCAGCCAAACCCACCCGGGGTTTGCTCCTTCCCCACATCGTTTCCACTTGACCCATTAAAGTCAAAACTCAGCCCCTGCCTCCGGTTTGAATCGCTCACATCCTGCCACTACAGCTTTGTTTAAATCTGTGCAGAGCTCAACCTGTTGTCAGACAGACACTAATTTGTGTGTTTCTAATTATTTGTTTCCATCTTAAAACCTGTTTTTCAGCAGATTGCAGCTTTATTTTAATACATGCTTGGCTAGAGCTTGATATACTGGTTGCCAGTAACCTAGACACAAAGTGGGATTACATTGCACAGGGAGAGCAAGGGGAGAAAAGAGACTGAGTTAAACTGAATTAAGAGTCTGTTCATAAAAATGAACTAAGCAAAACTGTGAAACAAGAAGCAGTTTTGCATCACAGAAGATTCTGTTGCCATATTCCTCTGTTTTTACCCCTCAAAATGAGATGAACCTCAGCATTCGCAAAGGGCATTTGAACCACCTCCTTTTTATGTGATTAAAGCTCTTAAACTTATGTTTAATCCCTTTTATACTCACATGCTTGGTGTTAAAAATTAGCTCATCAGTGGATGACCAAACCAGGATCAATTTCCAACTGCTTCCCCAGGATGTGGATGCAGAAAATCAGGCACCATCCTCAGCCTCTTCAATCAGGCAACACTCCAACAGCTTTTTACCCTTCCAGAGGCAGGCTGGGCCCTTTGTTTTTTGGTCATTTTTACACAAGTCTTCAGAGGGCAGAAGAAGTAGCTCCAAGGCAGCACTGCTGCAAGACACCAGGCAGCACAACCAGTGCTCCAGGACCTGTCTTTGTTTCATTCTTCCTCTGTAGCACTTTCTCCTGTGGTGAGGACTTTGGGGTCTCTGATCTAAAATGCAAATTAGGAGACTGACTCTGAGGCAATTAAACCAAAAGAAAACCGTATGCTATTTGCTGGCAAATACTGACTTTCCAGTGGAGGCTATGTTCTGTATAGCACTCTGCTCTGGCTGCACACCCACCCTGCCAGGGAGAGCAGGAAGGGTGCTGCAGTACCTGCAGCTGGATGGGGAGACCCTCCCCAGCTCCTGGGCCAGCCAAAGCTTAAACGGTGGCAAAAAGGTCCAGGCTAGATTTTGCCCATGATAGTGCTGGTTGCTCCCTGCATTTGAAAACCCAGCAAGAGCATTCCACGGGCAAGAAAGCTTCAGTCCCCCAGCACAGGGGTTGTGGTTGCCTACCATGATGGGAAGGAGCCACGTGAGGATTGGCAGTGTGCACCCTGTTTCCCCAGTGCAGCCATCTGGCTGCCTCCACAGTCAGCTGCAGAGGGAGAGTGAAATCCTTGTGCAGTTCATGCCAGCGGTGAAGACAATCCAAGGACATTGATTTCTCTGCTGGTTTTTTGTCAGTAGACAAAGAGGCCCAAAAAGCTGATGCAATTGGAGAGTGTAAGGATGCACTTCCCAGAAGGAACTAAATGCTAGAGGGAATCAGCTTTTCTGTGCCAACAAAGTGGCCTGGGACTTTGGAGTAGACACTCACCTTGAGGACACAGCCCAGAGCAGCTGGTCCATCTTGTTTCTGGTGTGCAGAGGCCCAGGTGGAAGGCTGACAGTGTGCAGCATCTCCAGATGAGCACCAGAGATCTCCCTCTTGCAGATCTTGGACTCTGAGGGACACATAACCCAGAGCAATCACTTCATTGGTATGAAGCAGCATGGAGGTCGCCTGGGAAAAGGCCTTTGCCAGGCCCAATTTTGGTGTGTGCATCAGCAGCAAGGAGATTGGCTGGGGGTGGCCATGCCCTCCTGGTTTGTTCCTTGCAGAGGAGCATCTCATCCAGACACCTCTGCCTCCACCTGTCAGCTGAGCCAAAGGGTCCATCACTTCCTTGTAGCCCTTCCCTATTTCCACTCTAGGACTTTTCTGGTGAGCTTCTACTCCTTTCTTTCTTTTTATGCTAAAAATGAAAGAAAAAAGGAAGAGAACACACTTGATGTTAAGGAAATCTAACAGAGCATGCAGCAATCCAACTGCTCAGACACATATGCCACCTTCCTTCTGCTCTGTACCAGTGAGGCTGTGCCATATTTAGATCTGGCTCTATCTCTCGCAAACTTGACCAACTGTTCCTCCACAGTGTCATCTTCACTTGTTTACCCCCAAACTGTTCACTGAAATCTTCAATTCGGTGAGGGGGAAATAATAATTAAAAAAAAAAAAAAAGTAGGTTTTATTTTTAATGGTGGTAAAAGCACTAAACACCAAGAAAGCCAGATCGCACCAGTGTGGGGTAGAGAGGTCAAGAGATCCCTTGGTGAGTCATCTCCACCAGGGACCTCCCATGTGGGGAGGCAGATGTGTTTCCTAGAAATTGCTGTGCTGTGGTGGCAGGGCCAGCCCTGTGTTTGCTGCCAGGGCAGCGTCCGGCCAGCCGAGTCATCGGGATCCTCCTAAGAGTGTGTGCTCCCAGAGGAGGGGCGAGTTCAGCCACATGTGAAGGCAGGCACAGAGCTGTGGCCACATTTGGGTTGCCTCAGTGTAACTCCTGGGAGGAGCCGCCCCATGGAGAGTGCTGAGCACTTGCAGAGCAAACAGGTAACAGCCTCCTTGAGGGAATGGCTCAAAAGTCCAGCTCTGTTACAAGTAGGAAACATAGGAAAGTACAGAAGGGCTTTTCCCTACCTTCCTCATTGTGCCAGACCACGACAAGCTCACCACAGTCTTTGGGACCAGGAGTCAGGCAGAGATGATCTTGCTTAACACTTTCAGCCACAGTTATGTCACGCACGAGGCAGAGGTGAGTCCTTGTCCTCCTGCACACAGCAAAGCCTTGGAGGGTTCTCACTGAACGTCCACATCTCTTCCTGGCTTGCCCTCGATGTCAAGCCACTGCTGTCTCCTGGAGGACGTGGTGACAGCCTGT